AAAAAAAAAAAAAAAAAAAAAAATACATTTGACTTATAATCACCTCATTAAAAAAAAAAATCAGTAATCTCTTTCTAAAGCCTACGGCATATAAGTAACTCTCTAATGCAATTTTAAGATCACTGTACATTATACATATGGTATCACTATGGAGCCCAAGAACATGCCCAATTATTTGTTAATTAAAAAACAAGAATTTCAACAAAATTTTAACTGTATTTTGAAGTCAGATCTAAGAGAAATAACATTTAAATCCTGTTTCTGAGAACTGCCTATAATACAAGTTGTCAAATGTATAAATTTAAAGTCCTCCCTTAAGAGGAAATATAAATATATACTACTTTAGCAGACAGTATGTAACAAATGAAATTTAGTTTTATAAACTCAAAGGAAATTCTTCTAAAAGTATGTGTATGTATACACATATGCATAAGTATGTATACACACATGCATAAATATATATTACATAAGGTGATTTAAAATATCAAGCAACCCATTAGAGTATAAACAAATGTGAAAAGTATCTGGCAGAAATACTAGACAGAGTTTTACATAAGCGGAAGGAGTAGATGACAGAGCCCTAAGCTTCCATGAGTCTGTGAGTACTGGATCTTTTTTCTCTCCATCAACTCCTGAGTATCTTCACCCCTGGAGAGTCAATTCAGACATTTTATATATGAATTGGTTTGAGTTCATTGATGGAAATACCTGTTCCTCCAGCAAGAGTTCCCTTGGCTATATCGCCATTTCTCTGATCAATGGTTTTCTACCAAGAAGAAAAGAGAACGACTTTAAAAAATTAGAGTTACAAGTGAAAATGAAAAAGATAAAAGCAGACAAGAAGAGTTAGAAAACAGCCATGTTGGATACCTTATCTGTAGCTTCTGTTCTCCTGGTTCTTTTCATAATCTCCTCAAGTCGCTATAAGAAAGGAAGAATTGAGCAAGAAGATCAGACACAGAAAAATAGCCAGCCTGGCACATTTAACTGATGAAATAGATTATTAAAAATGGTCTGCTATTTTGGAAAGATAAAATGCTTTTTTTTTTTTTTTTTTTTTTGAGACAGAGTCTTGCCCTGTCGCCCAGGCTGGAGTGCAGTGGCAAGTTCTCAGTTCTCTGCAGCCTCTGTCTCCTGAAGCGATTCCCCTGCCTCAGCCTCCCGAGTGGCTGGGATTACAGTAGCCAGCCACCACGCCCAGATAATTTTTGTATTTTTAGTAGAGACAGGGTTTCGCCATGTTGGTCAAGCTGGTCTTGAACTCCTGACCTCAGGTGATCTGCCTGCCTTGGCCTTCCAAAGTGCTGGGATTACAGGCATGAGCCACCGCATCTGGCCTTGCTACTGTGTCTTAATTGGAGTTATCCAAGAAAGTTGGAAGTGCCTTAAGCTCGGTGAAGTGGAGGTAACTGTTTTTTGGTGAGGGCTAAAACACTGAGAGAGATTTCTTTGCAGGAGATTGTCATCACTGAGGGGGCTACTAGTTTATGTGGAGAGGGAAGAACACGCGTTTTCCGACGGCAAGGGCTAGTGTCCGGGTCTTTCGAGGGTTGCAAGTTCGCATCCCGGGCCTCTGTGCTGAGACGCAGCTACCTTTTTTCTCTCCAGGCGCTCCTGCTCCTCTCTCTGGAAATGCTTCTCTCGTTCCTGCCGGACCCTCTCTGCTTCTTCACGAACACGAGCTTCTTCTTTCTGAAAACAGAAAGTTGGTGTCTGCCTCTGACAAACAGGCGGGCTGCCCGGGTCTCCCAGGGGGCTCCTGGAGGTGGGGGTGAGGTGGCAGATGGAGGAAGTATGGACAGCGGGAGCACCGCCACTCTCCTCTGCTGGGCTGGGGCACCTCCCTGCGGGGCGGGGCCGGGCCGGGCCGCACCTGCCTCTGGGCGCGCTCCGCCTCCTCCCGCTCCGCCTCCTCCCGCTCGCGCTGCGCCCGCTCCTCCGCCTGCCGCCGCAGCTGCTCCTCCTTCTCCCGGGCCTGCTCTGCCTCCAGCCGGCGAGTCTCCTCACGGCGAGTCCGCTCTTCAGCCACCCGTTGAGCCAATTCTTCTCTCTTTTGCCTGGAAAAAGACAAAAACAAGCAATGAGGAAAGGATTCCCTGTTTAATAAATGGTGTTGGGAAAACTGGCTAGCCATATACTGGGAGCTGAAACTGGACCCCTTCCTTACACCTTATACAAAAATTAACTCCAGATGGATTAAAGATTTAAACATAAGAATTAACATCATAAAAACCGTAGCAGAAAACGTAGGCAACACCATTCAGGACATAGGAACAGGCAAGGGCTTCATGACTAACACACCAAGAGCAACAGCATCAAAAGCCAAAATAGACAAATGGGATCTAATTAAAACTCCAGAGCTTCTACACAGCAAAAGAAACAATCATTAGAGTGAACAGGCAACCAACAGAATGGGAAAAAATTTTTGCAATCTACCCATCTGACAAAGGACTAATATCCAGAATCTACAAAGAACTAAAGCAGATTTACAAGAAAAAAACAAACCCATTCAAAAGTAGGTGAAGGATATGAACAGACACTTTACAAAAGAAGACATATATAAGGCCAACAAACATAGGAAAAAATGCTCATCATCACTGGTCATCAGAGAAATGCAAATCAAAACCACATTGAGATACCATCTCACGCCAGTGAGAATGGCAATCATTAAAAAATCTGGAGACAACAGATGCTGGAGAGGATGTGGAGAAAAAGGAACACTTTTACACTGTTGGTGGGAGTGTAAATTAGTTCAACCATTGTGGAAGACAGTGTGGCGATTCCTCAAGGATCTAGAAATAGAAATTCCATTTGACCCAGCAATCCCATTACTGGGTATATATCCAAAGGATTATAAGTCATTCTACTATAAGGACACGTGCACACAAATGCTCATTGCAGCACTGTTTACAATAGCAAAGACCTGGAACCAACCCAAATGTCCATCAATGATAGACGGGACAAAGAAAAGGTGGGACATATATACCATGGAATGCTATGCAGCCATAAAAAACGACAAGTTTCTGTCCTTTGTAGGGACATGGATGAATCTAGAAACCATCATTCTCAGCAAACTGACACAAGAACAGAAAACGAAACACTGCATGTTCTCACTCACAGGCGGGTGATGAACAATGAAAACACTTGAGCACAGGGAAGGGAACAACACTCACTGGGCTATGTGAGGAGATGGAGGGGAGAGGTAGGGAGGGACAGCAGGGCGTTGGGTGGATGGGGAGGGATGACACCCGGAGAAATGCCTGATGTAGGCAACGGGGCAGGGGGAAAGATGTGGCATGTATGTACCTATGCAACAACGCTGCAGGATGTGCACATGTACCCCAGAGCCCAAAGTACAATTAAAAAAAAAAAAAAAAAAAAAAAAAGACAAAACCAAAACCAAAGACACCTGAGGGGAAATCCTTGGAGAGGGGCCTGCCTCGGTGGTTCTGTAGGGACAGTTCCTTCAGGCGTCCAGTGCAAAAGTCCCTGCCGGATGCATTCAGCACTGCTAAGGGACAAAACGCAAGGCCACCCTTAGTCTTCCCCCCCACTTGCCAGCTGCATTGCCATCCATGGTGAGCAGAAGGAACAGGTAACCATGAATATCTTGGGGAGAGCTGGTTTTTTGCAAGGAATTTAACTATTTTTAGAGGCTCAGACTTGTTTAATTCAAATAATGTGACTTCTTAGTAATGAATTTGAAGCACCCCCACCAAAGGAAATCTTTGTAAATAAATAAGGGTCATAGTGTTCTGTCACAGGACATGTGGGACGGTCATGTTGCCCCGTGACCTGCAGCTGGTCTGCAAGGATGAAACCTTCCTTATTAGAGCCAAGGGCAGGGTATGGCCAAGATGGCAGCCCAGTGCGGGGCATGAGATCCTTCCCCAGGGTACAGTTGTGTTTTTGAAAAACAATTATATATATTGACATTAGTCACCCAGAAGGTGATCAATTAAGCAAACTGTCTATAGCATACTGCCAGGTAGGTAATCATGGGGTGTGTCAAGATCCCACGTGGCTACCCTCCGAGAGGAATTTTATCTGGAAAAGAGAAAACATGAACCCGCGTATTATGCAGCCTTAATGTGATAATTACTAAGATAAAGAGGAAACCTGGAGATTGGAGATGTGTTAAGTAAAAAAGCAGACTGTACAATTGTACCTCTGCTGTGGTTATAATTATGTAAATGTGTATGTATGTATCTGTACACACACACTCCCATACTGTTGAAAGACTAGAAAGGACCACCCAAATGTACACAATTACTGAAAAGTGATATGATTATGGATTTTTTTTCTTTAAACTTTTCTCCATCAATGTTGTTGTACTATAATTAAAATAAGAAAACGTGGCTAGGCATGGTAGCGCATGTCTGTAATCCCAACATGTTGGGGGGTTTGGGTGAGAGGATCCCTTGAGCCCAAGAGTTTGAGACTAGCCTGGGCAATATAGTGAGACCCTATTTCTATTAAAAGGAAAAAAAAGAAGAAAATGCAATTTAAAAAGCAAATTGCTTGGTAGTCAAAGGAAATAATCCTGAAAGAACTAATCCATTCACCTTCATCAGTATAATCACCTCCTCCCTCTCGGAAGGGAGATGATTTAATCCAAGGTATCACTGACAGCACTGACACCATGGTGCTGAGCAATGTCTCCCCTTTACCTTTCAAGCTCTTCCTGCTCCCTCCTCTCCCTTTCTTCCTTTTCTCTCTGCTCTCGGGCCAGCCGCCTCTTCTCAGCTAGCAGCCTTGTGGCCTCTTCTGGGTCGGTGGTTCCTGCAGAAGGCTTAGGAGAAGCACTGACAGTCACAGTGGATGCCGGTGGTGGGACCATGGCTGGGGTGGGGACTGAGGCTGGAGCTGGGGCCGAGGCTGGAGCTGGGGCCGAGGCTGGAGCTGGGGCCGAGGCTGGAGCTGGGGCCGTGGCTGGAGCTGGGGCCGTGGCTGGAGCAGCTGCACAAATAGGTACAAGGAGAAAAGCAATTGGAAACAAAATCCAACGAACAAAACCAAAACTGGCATTCCCCACATCCCAGGCCTAGAATTCACCCTTATAAAAGAAAAGGGGATGTTTATTACTGTGTGTTCTCACGGTTTCACTGTGTTCTATCTGTAACCAAGCAACAGACAAAAAAATCAGTATGTGTAAGTGAGACAGCCAAAAAGATGACACTCTGTCACCAAGTCTTATTTTTATACCAGTGAAATCAGTTAACAACATACATTGAATGTATATAGAGCTTCATGTTAGAGTCTGTAGGAAATTATACACTGAGCAAAAAGAAGATGAGATCATCCATTTGTCTTTCATTGCATTTGAAAATTCCTACTCTTTGGTAACCAATCATTACTACAGCAGCATCCTCAGCATCCATGCCACGAGTCCAGATTCAGACAGGGAAGATGACACCCTATGAAGGGGACTCTTTTGTTTCCCGAGAGTTGCCTCTAGGTCTGAGATGAGAGGAGCTTAGGCCTCTTTGGGAGCTGGTGCTCATTCTGTTTATTCATCCCAGGCTGCCAAGATGCAAGATGGGAGCAGACGTGCTCTGGCCTTACCTGGATTTAGGAAGATGACCTAGAGTGCTGGTGCAGCAGAAGCCCCACACAGACTCACAATTCTGCACCATAGCCAGTGCCAGCTCGGGCGCCTGGCTGCTCCAGCCCCTCCTTTTGAGGGTCACATTTCTGCTTCTGCTCCCACAGATTTTTCTTGGCCATCTTGATGCTCTATAGCCCTTAATTCCCTTTTCCGTGGAGGGAAACACCGGACTCCTCCTTTCTCTAACATTTTCACCTGTTTCGAATCATGTCTTCTTTTTTTGCCTCCATTTTCTGTCTCCAAATTAAGTCTTAAGTAGAAAACTTTTGAATAAAGACAGTTGTCAACTAGAAATATTGAATTCCAAGATCTAGGTGGTTTTAAATTTCTAAAAGCATCTGAGTTAGCCTGGGAGAGGTGAGAACAAGTGGGTCTTCTGAAAAAAAAAATATGACTTCTATCAAGCACACAGGCTATGCCAGGTGTCCTTAAACTGCAATATGCTATGCCCAGGAATAGCACTGCCAGATTTAACTGGCCACCCTGTGTTCTATCTGGCAACCGTGTTCAGGCATCAACTGACAAGCTTAGTATCCTTCAGAGTCCTCACATCTACCACTGCATATTCTGACTCAGTAAGTCTGAGGTAAAGCCAAGGGTCTGTATTTCAAAACATTATGGATGTGGTGGTTTAAACGTATTTCCAGTTTTCCTCAGCTGCTGACAAGGTGCCCTCAGTCCCTCTGAGGAATCTAGGGCCACGCTGGAGTGGGACCCTCACTTCATCGGGCAACTAGCACCTTGTCTGGCAGTTCCAGCCAGCCCCACACTTGCTCGCACCACAGCCTCTGTTTCTGAGCTCACCTGCATTCTGCATGAGGCTCAGCCCTCATTCTGCATGAGGGTCAGGTGACCGTCAAGGAGGATAAGATCAATGCCTTCATTAAAGTAGCTGGTAAATGTGCATAAAAATAAATAAATAAATAAATAAATAAATAAATAAATAAAAAGGTAGCTGGTGTAACTGTTGAAACTTTTTGGACTGGCTTATTGGCAAAGGCGGCCAATGATGACATGGGGAGCCTCATCTGCAATGTAGGAGTTTGTGGAGCTGTACCAGCAGGAGGTCCTGCCCCCTCTACCAATGCTGTTCCAGCTGAGGGGAAGAAATAGAAGCAAAGTAAAGAGAGTCTGAGGAGTCCCAGGAGGATATGGGCTTTGGTCTTTTTGACCAAACCTCTTTTCTAACAAGTTCAATACAGAGCTGAAGTCGTAAAACGCATTCTTTGAAAACTCCCCCTTCAAAAGGTAGAGACTATGTCTTCTCCTGGAGTGTGAGTTCACTTTTCTACTTAACAGAATGTGACAGAAACATTGGTGTGTGACTTCTGAGACTGGGTCATAAAAGACACTGTAGATTCCTCCTCATTCTCTCTTCTAGGTCAGTCACTCTGGCGGAAGCCAGCAGAGCAAGCAGACAGATGAGGACATTCAGCTATATACAGAGCAGTCCGTGTGTAGAGAAACTGAGGCCGCCTGCCTCCCACCTTGTGTGTAAGCCACCGTCCAGCTCTGGGTGAATCGTGAGATGACTGCAGCTCTAGCCGACAGCTTGACTGCAATCCCAGGAGCTTGACTGCAATCTCAGGAGCTTGACTGCAGTCTCCCAGCTGAGCTGCTCCCAAGTTCCTGACCCAAGAATCCGTGTGATATGATAAACGTTTGTTGTTGTTTTAACCTGCGAATTCATTGTGAAGCAATAGACAACAAATACAAAAGGTGATTTTGATGCAGGTGCTCAATGAGAAGCTACGCCTGAATTCATGTGTTTGTGGCTCCAACAACAGGCTTTTGGAGGTATGATTCGATATTTACATTTCTATTTCTGCTTCCGCAGATTTTTTTTTCATGGCTGTCATAATGCGCTACGGCCCTCCTTTCCTTTCTTTCCTTTTCCATGGAAGCAAACACTGGGCTCCTCCCTTCTCTAACATTTCACCTGTCTTGAATATCTCTTCTTTCTTGCCCCGCCCTCTATCTTCAAATTAAGTCTTAAGTAGAAAACTTTTGAATGAAGACAGTTTTCAAGTAGAAATATTGAATTTCTAGCTCCAGGTGATTTTATATTTCTAAGTAGCATCTGGTTAGCCTGGCAGAGGTGAAAACCAGTAGGTCCTTCTGGATAAAATTCTGACTTCTACCAAACTCACAGGCCAAGCCAGGGGGTCCTTAAAGTCCAGTATGCATTGGAATAGCATTGCCACGTAATTATTTTACTTAACTTTTTACTAAGTAAAATACTATTTTTAAGCAGCCCTAAGTTAAAAAAGTATATTTAAGGAAAGGTTTTAAACTTAACCTTAGAGTAATATTTCCAAGTTTCCAACAAGAGAAGAAAAGGAAAACAAAAAAAGCTTAATCAAAGCAGTGTGGGAGAAAAAGAGAACACCCGAACCACAGGTGAGTTCGCTCTTACCAGGGCCAGCTTCTGGTTTGGCAGGTGTCCCCTCTTCAACTGTGGTGGCTTCCACCTTCACTAAAGGTGCTCTGCCCTTTAGTGAGGGCTCATTGGCAACTTTCTGGGGTTCCTTCTCAGGGTCCTTTTTCTCAGGGTCTTTTTTCTCAGGCTCCACTCTGCCTTCCCTCTTGACAGGGCGGATGTTGCCAGGGGATGGGGGCCGGACCTGAGCAGGAGCAGCTTTGACTGTGCCGGGTGGCAAAGAGGATGTGGGTCTGGGTGTCCCAGGCAAGTGAGGAAGAGACTTGGACGGAAGCCTGGGTCACAAACCAACAAGGCAGACAGAAGGGGACACATGAGAACAGGTTTGCCAGAACTTAGAACGACTAGAAGGAAAAAAATGCAGATATTGGCCAGGTGTGGTGGCTCATGCCTGTAATACCAGAACTTTGGGAGGCTGAGGCGGATGGATCACGAGGTCAAGAGATCGAGACCATCCTGGACAACATGGTGAAACCCCATCTCTACTAAAAATACAAAAAAATTAGCTGGGCATGGTGGCGCATGCCTGTAGCTCCAGCTACTTGGGAGGCTAAGGCAATGTGCCACTGCACTCCAGCCTGGTCAACAGAGCGAGACTCTGTCTCAAAAAAAAAAAAAAAAAAAAAAAGAATGCAGATATTCAGCTATATGTATTTGTTTTTTATGTGGTAGATGCAGAAATAGAGTTCCCTAAAGCTAGGGAACCATTCCAATATCTCTTTTTTCTTTCCTTTCAGGAAGAATGTTATTCCCAAAGTCAAAGCCAAACAGCATGAGAACAATGGTTCACTTTCAGAGGAGAGAGGCTACTAATTCACTAACATGGAACAACCCAGCCAGCCACTTACATTTCACTTACCAAAGTCGGGAGGAAGCTGGCGGTCTTGCTTTGGGATTCGATGGAGATAGAGCCCTTCGGGTGCCAGATGTAAGGAGGAAGGGTGTATTTTCTCTCTCTCTTTCTTTTTTATGGCCCTAAGTTCAGAGAAACTCAATTGTTAGATTTTTCCATGAGTGAGGCAACCACATTCACAGTATTCAACAGTGGAGCTAGAAACCATTGAATGACTTTTAAGAAATTTTCTCAGCTATGTCATATACTCATTCCACCACAACAAAAGGCCCTTGGTAGCTTAAAACTGAACAGTATAACTGAATTAACACAATGTGACACTAATAAGGTCATTCTGGATGTGTGATTTGGAGTCATATTTGTCAAAAAAGCATTCGTATATACATACTTTTAGAAAGCACCTATACTTTGTGTTTAAAAATTAATTACCTGAAACAAAACCTCTCAATCTGGTTTATCCCACACAAATGTCTAATGTTATTTTCATTTTTAAAAAACTTTTAATTAAAACACATCTTTTCTTTTTAATTCTTTAGCATCCCCCCTAAACATACTATAGCTCAGTCTTCTAAAAAATTATATGACTGCTATATTAGACATAAACTCATTTTTTCATTTATATTGATTTTGTATAATAGAATCAAATCCTTCCTCACCTAGCGTCCTCTTGCAGCAATGGATAACTGATACGACAGGTGATTTTGAAGGAAAGTCAGGTTTAAAGTGAGGAATTTCAGCTATCTGTTTTTTTGCTCTCCCTTACCAGGAATAAAGCTGAAATCTGAAGATGGGCTAAAACATCACCCCTCGCTGACTGCCAACTAGGAATTCAGCCAGAGAGATGACACTTTCTTAAGTCAAAATGGGCAAAGGGAAGCCCTGAGAAGTGTTCTAATACCCTAAAGTCAATCAAGACCAAAATGAACAAACAAAAAATGTACAGAGCAAAACAGACCCATTCCAAGTATCTGAAACCTAACGATGCCCTGGGGCGGGAGGGGCTGTGTGCTGAAGGCACCCATATGAACAGTTGTCAGGAGGGCAGACTGCAAGCGTGCATGGGAAGGGGCAGAAAACTATCTTGTCCTAGGTCACATAAACCAGTAGTATACCTTTTCCTCTCTCCTTTTCTGCCTGGCTCAAGCATCTACTTCTCTCTTCCTTCCTTTCCCTTTTATTCCCTTCAGTGTCCCTTTTAATTGCTTCTATTTTCCTTAAGTAGCATCCTAGCTGAGGGACTGGGCTATCAGAGGAGCAAAAACATCTAAGGGTCAAATAATCCTCAGTGCCTCCCTGGAATTTCTAAACAGAAAAAATGAAGAAAGAGGCAGAGAAGAGCTTCACAAGGTATGTAGCAGCTCTCCATCATTTCCAGCTGCTCAACCACCATATCTCCCATCTTAGGTCCCCCAAAGTAGGAGGTGGGGCCTCACAGAGCTGCTGTGGGCTTTGGGTATCAAAAGCTGCAGCCACCATATGGGGTGCTCCTGGCTGGTGTAGAGGGTAGGCCCAGGGCTCTTACCAGGGGAGACTGAGGTTAAGTATCTCAAGTAGCCCTTCTTTTTTTTTTCTTTTTCTCAAAACATTTTGATTTGGCTGACATCAGATCAGTGAGTAACCTAAATGGGAAAGAAACTCAAGAGGGACAATTTTTGATGGGGGGGTGGGCCTGGGGATTATTATTATCTGTGCCTTGATAATACAGGGATCAGGGAATGAACCTATATAAAGGTATATACTCTTAGGATTACAGTGCCTTTGAACCAATTCTGTCTCTTTTAAAAGTGATCTCCTTTAATCATCTAGGGGTAGGTGGGCAGAGGAGGAATGGTTAGGAAAAACACTCAGTACTTAACACCCTCCCCCTCCCAAGCAGGGAGAGTTTTGTTTCTTTTCTTTTTCTGTTCTATACTTTTCTAACCCTTTTCGTCCTGTCGTTGCTCTTATATCCAACCACCCATTTGGGTACCACACATGTAAAGGAACTCCTGATTCTCATCCTGATCTGAGTTAACAGCCCACCGTCTACACAGTCATCTTTCCTATTAACACTTTCCATAATGCTGAGGGGGAACACATGCTCAGCAAGTCAAAGGTCTGGGCAACATATCACCAGGAAAAAGACTTTAATTTTATAATTAAGGCAAGTTTAGAATACAGTATAAATATCCTCCCAAGAGAGACGATTCACAGATATTTTAAGGCAGTGTTGTCTAATAGAACTTTCTGTGATGGTGAAGATGTTCTAAATCTAGCCACTAACCACATTTGCCTATTTGAATTTAAATCTAAATTAATTCAAATTAAGTAAAATAGAAAAGAAAATTTGAAAAACATCTCCATTTCCTATAGCATCCAAAGGAATAAAGTACTTAGGAATGAAGTTAACAAAGGAGGCTAAAGACCTGCATAGTGAAAACTAGAAGATAGTGCTGAAAGAAATTAAAGACAACACAAACGGAAGGAAATCCTGTGTGCAGGGATTAGAAGATTTAATACTGTTAGGATGCCATGCATTCCCTATTGAAATCCCAATATAATTTTTACTTTTTGCAGAAATATAAAAATGCAACCCAGAATTGACAAAAAATTTCAAAGGACCCTGAAGAACCAAAATAATCTTGAAAAAGAACAAAGTTGGAGGTATTACATTTCCTGATTTCACAACATATTACAGGTTGAGTATCCCTTATCCAAAATGATTGGGATGGCAGCGTGTCAGATTTCAGATTTTGGAATACTTGCATTAACACTTACGGCTTTAGCAGCCCTAATCCATAAAACTGGAAATCTGAAAATGCTCTAATGAACATTTCCTTTAAGTGTCATGTTGGCACTCAAAAGTTCCACATTTTGGAGCATTTTGTATTTTGTATTTTTGAATTAGAGACACTCAGTTGGTACAAAGCTACCGTGATTAGTACTGTGTGGTAATGTATCAAGACAGATACATAGGGCCGGGCATTACGGCTCACATCTGTAATCCCAACACATGGGGAGGCCGAGGCGGTGGATCACTTGAGGTTAGGAGTTCAAGACCAGCCTGGCCAACATGGTGAAACCCTCTCTCTACTAAAAATACAAAAATTAGTTGGGCATGGTAGCACATGCCTGTAGTCTCAGCTACTCAGAAGGCTGAGGCATGACAATCGCTTGAGTCTGGGAGGCAGAGGTTATAATGAGCCAAGATTGCACTCCTGCACTCCAGCCTGTGGGTGACAGAGAGAGATTCTGTCTCCAAAAA